AGTCAAAATTCCTATTAGTGGTCCATGGGATTTAAAATTATGAGTTTGGTGGTCCCTGAGGTCCAAAAGTTTGGCGACCCTGTATTAGGCGACATTCCTAAGCAATTTTCTTAAGGGAATAACCATATGGGAATTAATTGTTTGTGAGTACAAGTGCATACTAAAAGTTCAAGCTAGACATACATCTTTTAATATATGTATATTATGAGCATAAAATAACCAAATTGATTGAATTTAACTGACAGCTAATTGAGGAAGTTCTTTATACACATCTCAGCATCAGTTTTTACAGTTTTGAAACATTTTCATAGAAAAAAAACCCAAGAAAGTCCAGTTGCCTTTTGGAAAAAGCATCTTTGGAATAAAGAGGACATTGGAGTATCATGTTCTTCAACTATAAGGCTCTATGAAAGTGGTGATAGAATCATTAATTTAGAATTTTAATCATTAATCCTACATGAGTGCAATCCCCCCAAAACCATGACTTGCATTTTATATCTAGATAAATTTCAGTTTGTCTCCCTCAAAGATAGCATTTATTCACATGCCTGTTTTTTTTATAAAATGTAGTGATAATGTATATTTTTCAGGGTCTGTATGTTCTGGACTTCTTTTGGAATGAAAATTGGTATTTAAAAACAATGGATATTGCCCACGATCACTTTGGATGGTATCTGGGCTGGGGAGACTGTGTTTGGCTTCCCTATCTCTATACTCTGCAGGTATTTCATCATATGCATTTTACTCTTGTTTGTATTCAACTGCTTCTAGAAACAATAGAGTTATCCTCCCTTTAAGAAAGCATCTTGGGTATCATGATGGCAGTTCATGTTTAAGGAATTTTTTTTTTTTAGTGTTTGGGCCTACTGCTGGAGAGAGTAATCTGCCTTGGCAGCAGCATTTTGAGGAGGAAATGGGCAACTCCTAGGGTAATGGTTGCTATTATGTGGCAGTTGGAGGTTGGTTGTGAAGACAGCTGGAAGCTGATATTTTGTATGGTGGCTGGAGGCCAGTGGCTGATATCTTTAAATGCCAGAGTTGAAAAACTAAAATGCAGGCTTTCAGAGACCAACTGAGGGAAAATACAAAGGAAGAAGGATGCTGGTTGAGACTATGGCATAACTCAAAGGGTCCTGGGAAACGGGGAATGATAAACTAGTTGCAAAGAGGATATTTGGAAGCAATTGTAGATGTTGTGTACTGTAGGCCATAGAAGAATGGTTGAGAAATTCAGAAAAAGAAAGGCTCAAACAGATCAAGGTGGCCTCAATCTGGAGGATGGACTCTGGTAGCGGAGAGGAAGATATAATGGTAAACAGAAGAATGATATAGACTCAATTTAAGGTGCTGGTTGTCACCTTTTTTTTTAATTTTTAATAAAGTTTTATTTGGGTTTTCACACATACAAAATACAAATAAAACATCTTTTTTGAAAATAGCATGGTCCTGGGTTGAACTTCTTTATACAGACACAAAACTCAATTTCATGCTCCTTTTTATATTCTATTCCATATCTTATACTATTTTACATTTTCTATATAGTTTTTCCCCTCTTTTAATTTTCTCAATTTTATTTTGATTATCTCATCTCAATTCAAATCATTATATTTATATTTTTGTCTGTTCTGTTTCAATTTCATATTATCTTTTCTCATTAAACAAATTTTCTCCTGTAGTTACTAATTGGAGTATGACACCTTTATATCTTTTAATTACATCCATTCAACTCTTATTTAAACTTCAATATATACCTTAAGTTTATGACCTTCAATATAATACATAATACATAACTTCCAATCAAATTCTGCTTGGTACATTCTTATAATACACACTATATTCTTTAAAAAAAAAGAAAAAGAAAGATTGTAAATATATGTAATTATAAACCCTCATTCCATTCCAGTTCAGTTTTATCATTAATAATCATTAAAATCTTAACATCTTTAACACTTCTTTTCAATTAAATATCATACTTCCTTAAACACATATAATCTCCATAATTAATTTTTCCCTTATTTCTCTTCACATTCATGTTTTAGAAATCATTAAATATACCTTTTGTTACATTTATTTATTGACAAGCATTCCACTGAATTACGATAGCTATTTTATCAGACATTTTAATCATACATTGTTTCATTGTTTCATATTTTCTAAAATTATTTCTGTTTCTAATATAACCATACTATCTTAAGTACCTTTGCAGAATCCCTTTTTCCATTAAGTTTTCACCCATTATCTCTAAATAGGCCCTGTTTCTCTATATTTTGCTTCTGTCCTTTATAACTTCTTTTCCTTTCTTTCTTCCCCCTCATCTTCTCCCTCCCCTTTTTACCCCCTTGTCTCTCCAGTTCTAATTCTCTCTTCTGCATTTCCCTCTTCTGTTGCTTTCTGATTTTATACTTATTTTTCACTCTATTTTTGGGGGGAGTTGTTTTTCCCAATCTTAAACTTTCCATTCTCTTTCCCCCCACACCTTTCCTTTTTTCCCCCCATCTAAGATTACTTGTTCATTAAAGATGGCTCCTTCTTTGTCACAATCTTCTTGTTCTGCAGGCATTTCTTGTTGTTTCTCATAATTCCAAATCTCCATTTCTAAAAACTGAAGTACGAAGCCAAAAGAACCTCTCCCTTCTTGTGCATCTTCTTTGTACTTTTTAAGTTCATTTTCAGTTCTTCTAAAAGTGGAGCCATTTTAAACAGTTTTAAACAACCACCCGATTGATTTTAGTCATTCAAAACAATAACCAAGAATCCAGAAATCATCAAGTAATCCAGATAGTCCCGAGTTATATCTTCTTATAAGTCTTTTTCGACTTTCTCTTCCTGGGGTTTTTGTTGCGATATTTCAGTTAGAATGTATCTTTTGGAAGTCTTGTTGAGATTTTGCTGTAAGTTCTTTTTTAATTCCATGCAGTCTCCTCCCTTCCAGATCCTGCCCTTTAATTCTTTTTCTCTCCTTTCCTGTTTTTAAAAGCTTTTAATTATCCAGAAATCTTTATTATCCCTTTCACTTTTTATTTTCAACATTAAATGCCTATTGATGTCAAAGTGGATTTTTTTCCAATTTCTTGCTTAAATCTCTTAGCTGTCAGTATAGGAAAAGGAGAAAACCAAATCTTTTCCCTTTTCTCTCTCCTTCACAGCTTAAAAATCTTTTTAGGGAACAATGTTATTGTTTTTTAATAGTTTCAATTCCAGGGTACCTTATTTGTTGCTTTTGCTGTTTGACCCGGTCAACCAAAACTTTCTCTTCTTATCTTCCTCCTGCACATTCTTTTCCGATCGAGTTCTTCTTTGTGGTGGCCATTTCTGACAGGAAAGAATAGTGGCCAGACCCCTTGAAGTACAGAATAAAACAGACCTGAATTGAGTAACGGGTCAGTCAGATGAGGTTCCAAATAGGGGTGGGAAAGGATCGATGGGATTGTTATGAATGTGAGGGAAGTTCATAGGCTAGCAAGTGTAGCTTCGGTTTCATACCTATGGAGATTCTCACTCATTCAGGTAATGGTTGTCCCAAAGGTGCTTTTTCAAAAGGCAACTGGACAAACGTCTTCAAGAAAAAGCAAAGAAAGCCCAGTTGCCTTTTGAAAAAGCACCTTTGGGACTTTGATTTCATAGTTGGAAGTTGGGGTACAATAAGAGGAGTTGAGAAAGATTTCATAGTCAGGGTTCCAGAGATCAACATCACTTCTGCTTGGCCAAAGGGGAAAAAATTATGCAGAGATGTGAATGTACACACAAGTAGTTTTTGAGCGTTTGAGAAATGTGAAATATAAATAAATAGTTCTCAACTGTCACTTAAGGACAGTTCAAAGTTAATATACACACAGGAAAAGTTACTTACTCTCTGGAGAAAAGAAGCTTCCATTCCAAAGCTCTGGTCTCTTTCCAGCCTTACTTGCCTTCAGAAACTTGGTGTTTGCTACCTTTTTAGCCAGAAAACTAATGAATGTGATGTTTCTATGACAGGCCAGAGAAAAGAAGATCCAAAAGATTCCTGAAGATTGAGCACACAGAGCTGAAGGGAGCCACTGAGTGGGCCCAAGAAAAGAAACTTGGATCTCAAAGGTCCAAGTTTCCTTTCTCCAGCACAGTGCAGTAGTTCCCTTGTGCACATAGATGGGAGAGGATGGCCTGCAGCGGGCTGGAGAAACAAATCTTTGGGATCTAAGCATCATTTTTTTTAACCCAGCACAGGAGTTTCCTTCCCTGCATGAAAAGGAGTTGCCTATCCTCTTAATGGCCCAAGAGGTTTCTTAACAACCACAATTGGGAAATTGCTGTTGTTAAGCAAACTGATCATATGAACATCTAGCTTAACTATTGCAAAAACCTACAACCCAAATTCTGGACCCAATTGTGGTTGTAAGTCAAGCACTATTTGTACTGCAGTTGTGATGGGGCCAGGGTAATTATGGCAGGAAAATTATGGAGGCTGCGTGTTAGAAGGGGGTCTGTTAATCTGATGCCGATCTAATTTTCCAATCCTCCAGCTTCAGTCTTAGATTTAGGTAGTCATATTGCTAGTGATCTTGGGCTCATTTGGTTGTGAATGAGCATAAAGACTGGTATGTGTCTTAACCTGGTTGACTAAGGATGTGGCCTGTCTGATTTGCTCTCAAGCTTTAGATTGTTTAGTAGCTGTGACACCAAGGCCAGGGAAGGGGAGGAAAGTGACCAGAGGCCTTGCTCTGGCTGTGAATGGAGGTTTTGCTCTATCTGTCTGTTTATTATTGCAACTGTACTTTTTTTCATTAAAATGTTTAAATTGCACAATAGCCAAAGCTCTCTGGGGAGTTTACAATAAAACACACAAAACTATAACCTTAAAAACATGTATGATAATCCCAAAATACAAAATAAAAACACCATATAGACTAAATGCCTGGTACTGAAAAGCCAGTTAAAATCCTGGGAAAATAAAATGGTCTTCACTTAACACTAAAAGTCCCATGCTAGTTGAGACTCTCTATAAATTCTATAAATGGAGTGCCACCACAGGGGGGGGGGGGGAATATTCCCCTTAATAGAACCTCACTTTATTTCCTTTGGTCAGAAATCTTGAAAAAAACACTCATTAGATGATAACACTTAGATGGGTACATATGGGAGAAGGGTCCTTTAGGGTCTTGAGCCACATAGAACCCTAAAGGTTAAAATCAGCGCTTTGAATTGCTCTGTGGATGAGTGCTGACTAAACCTGACAACTTGCTTACCATTTGTTTTTCATTCCCTTTTTTTTACCTCAGGGGTTGTATTTGGTCTATCATCCTGTCCAGCTTACTACCAGTTATGCAGTTGGAATTCTTCTTCTGGGTTTGGTGGGCTACTATATTTTCAGAATGACCAATCATCAGAAAGATCTCTTCCGTCGCACTGATGGCAACTGTAAAATATGGGGCAAGAAACCCAAATATATTGAATGTGCCTACACATCAGCCAGTGGAACTAAACACTACAGTAAACTGTTGATTTCAGGATTCTGGGGTATGGCCCGCCATTTTAACTACACTGGAGACTTGATGGGCTCCCTGGCATACTGCCTGTGTTGTGGTTTTAATCATATTCTTCCTTATTTCTACATAACTTTTATGACCATTCTCCTGGTCCACCGCTGCATTAGAGATGAACATCGATGCTCCAACAAGTATGGCAAAGACTGGAAGAGATATACTGATACAGTACCATACCGACTCTTTCCAGGGATTTTCTAAATGCTTATTTTAGACTTAAAATGTTTTGCAAAAACAAGTTTTGATACATTTATCAGCAGTATTTTGGCACATATAATGGTGCATGATTTGCTTACTTCTTAATGTGTTAAAAATAAAATTTAACATAAAATGCGCATTACATAAACCTTTAACAGTTATTTGTGTTGTTTTTTAAAAAGTTTCTTTTTGTATTGATTTGTTTTGCTTCCTCCCTGTCCCAAATTCAAAAAAACAGTGCAGTAATTTGTATTTCAGTTTTACTATTCTGGATAAAGGGAAATCGTAATGTATAATTGACCACAAGTTTATTTATATTGCCATGTGATGATTCTCTGATAATTGTATTTGCACTGAAGATTCTGGAGTCTTCAGTACCCTCTAAATCCATACTTGATAATTAATGTTCATTCCATTTTGAAAATGATGACTGGGTAAACTGACAAGATCTTTGAGTAATGATAAACAGTTCAATGAAAGTTTTGACACAATGTGCATCCAATGCAAAATAGACCAACAGCATGTTAAGAGATAATAAGTCATGGTATCCAAAATAGAAATGCCAATTTCATAATGCCTTTTTATAAATCAGTGGTGCAACCCTCTGGAATATTTTGTACAGTTCTGGTCACTGCACCTCAGAAATGATATAGTGGAACTAAAAAAAGGTTGGTGAAGGGCAACTAAGGTAATCAAGGGATTAAAACAGCTTCCCTGTACATGATGTGAATAAAATAAAGGAGGAGAGGAGCTCTTTTCTCCTTCCCAAAATACTAGAACCCAATGAAAACTGAATCCTGGAAGCATCAAGACAGGGCAATATTTCTTTATACAACATATAATTGAACTTTGGAATTGCTACAACATGTGGTGTTGTCTATCAGCTTGGCCTCTGAAGACCATCTGCCAGGAAACTAGTGGTTTTGTTGTACAGTTGAAAACAAACTGCTGGACAAGACAGAAGGGTATTGCTAATGTTCTTAAAAGGTCTGAATTTCTTTGATCAGCTGTGATAAAATAGTGAAATAAGCAAAGATAAGAATGACGGATTAAAATAATAATCTTGGACATTACTACTGTGATGACCCAGAGTGTAACACAAATGTAACAAAATCCAAAACGTAAATAAACATCCTTTAATGCCTCCAACTTGGTCCCACTGTTCAATAATTCTCAGTTGGAGATAAAACTTGCTCAAAAATAGTCTTCAAAAGAAAGCAATACAGTCTGAACTTAATGAGCAGATAGAGGTGAAATAAAAAAACAAACTACAATGAAGAAATTTCCACAACGGACCAGGATAAGTAATTACCAACTTCAAGGAAATAACAAGGCACAGTCTGTTGAAAGGACACCAACCAAGATAACTTCAGCCCAAAATAAAACATGCTTTGCTTCTGGCAACGCTGTTTTTTAACCGTCTCTCTTATATACTATTCTCCCCAGCTGCCACCAATGAGGGGGATCATGGCCGCTTCCTCTCTCGTAAGCTAAGTTGTTTCCTCCGTGCGTGTCCTACGATGCAGAGGGGATGGGCCTGGTTCTTCCTCTGACTGCCCAGCCGGCCTCTGCCCTTCCCCAGCCTCCTTCACAACCTCCAGAGCCATACCTCCACTCCCTGTCAGCTGTTCCTCCTCTCCCTCAAGAGTCCGACTCTACCAAGGGCATGATAACTATCAATGGCATTTGTACAGATTCATGTCTGCATTTGTACAGATTCATTTGTACAGATTCATGTCTGCCGTCATGTCTACAGATTCATGTATGCCAAATGGCATTTGTACAGATTCATGTTTATAGGGACTTTTGTATTTCAGATGACACTTTCATTTGACCAGCACATTATGTTTAAAAAGACAATATGTCAAGATTTTAAAAATCCATATCTTTATAAATCAATAAATCAGTGCTGAACCCTGTGTACAAAACTACAACATTGCTGAACTATGTTTACTAAAATGAGAACTTCACTTCTCAAAGCTTATTACAAAATAGATCCTGCTGGCTGATTTAAAAGTAAAGCAGAATGCCTCCTGTGAAACATGCACACTCAAACTCAAAGAATTACAGATAATGATGATTTAGTACGGTAAGTTTAATATAGGTACCCATTCCAATAGACTTAAGCAGCTTAATAAAGTATTCAAGTATTCAATATATTGGTTGATAGGTTTTATACAAGCAGTCCTCGAGTTATGACTGTAATGAAGCCTGCCCATTACAGTCAGAAGTCAAGATGGCCATTAAATTAACAAATTTCACTTAACGATCCCCCCATCTCTGCTCTCGCTTATGCAATTGTTAAATGAACACAGGCCATTAAGTGGAGCATGTGGTGCCTTGGGTGGCCTACTGCAGATACAAGCCCATTTGGTCTTTGGTTTCCCCCACACTCTGAGATACCCCATGCTTTGCTTCTCCTTGGGGTCCCCACAGTTGCTCGGGCCTCCTTCCCACCCACAAAAGCACATTTACCTTTCAAAGATCTCCAGAGCTCAGGAAGTTGGGGTAGAAGGTACAAGTGCTCCAGAACCAGGTGTCATTTTGGAAGTGGCCACAATTCATTATAGCCATTCCCAAAATGATGCCTGTTTGCCAGATAGCGCCATGCAGCCACTGTGTAGGGAGGCCACATAGCAAAGCTGAATACCACATACACACACACACACACACACACACACACACACATATATATATATATATATATATATATATAGTTTTCGCGGGTACTTACATGTATGGTATTCAGCTTTGTTCGGGTATTTTCCCACGTCATTATAGTTGTGCTTTTAAAGTTGTAGCAACGTTTCGGCAGAATCTCATCTGCCATCATCATGCTTCTGTATTGTGTTTCTGTATTGTGTTTATGCTGCTGTCGTTCCTTAAGGCTTGCAGGGCTTTTAGTTCCTCTTTGTGCAAGTTGCTTTGGGTGGTTTGCTTGTGCATAGGATGTTAGTGACTTGGTGTCTTATTCTATCAGCTTCATCTGTATTTAATTTAGTTAGGCTGGATTCCACTCCACATATGATGGATTCTTTGGGGATTTTTTTGGGTGCTATAGCATAATTGAATCCTTTTGGTTAGGGCATCTTTTTCTGTTTTGGTGAGTTCTCTGTTGGAAACGTTGTATACTAATTGTTTCAGGTGTTGTGAGTTGTTGGGGGCTTTCTTGTCATGTTCCAATTTCTTTAGTTTCTTCAGGAGTTTGTCATTTTTGTAAGTGGTTTCAGTTTCAGCTCTCTAAGTTGTAAGCTGTTTTTTCTTGTCCCAAAGTAGAGGGTGGATTTTGTTGCTCAATTCCAGGTGTAGAATTAGAAAATCTTTGTTTAACTGATCGAGTTGGAATCTCTTTCTGTGGAGCTCGTTCCTGAGCTCTTTTCAGGATACGTTTAGTTGCTCGTTCCTGAGTTCTTTTCAGGATACGTTTAGTTGCTGCTGTGCTGTGATGAAATGTTAATTTGAAACAGGTCGGTGTTGCATTGCTGTCTCTGCAGCTGTGTAGGAATTTGAGGTCACATAGTATTCCTGCTCTTTTAACTTCCAGCTTCTTGTAAGTTTTGGTCTGGCTGTTTATTTCCTTCCCGTAGAGGTCTGGTGTTTGTTTTCTTAAGTTTTCGCGGGTATTTATATGTATAGTATAGTTTGGGTTTGTGGGTGGCATTAGCTAGGGCTCTGGATTCGAATTCTTCCATGAACAGGTTTGCAATGATGGGTGACAATGGTGATCCCATAGGGGCTCCTTCAATTTGCTTGTATCTTTGTCCTTTGTATATGAAATATGTGTTGGTTAAGCAGTGTTCTGTGAGTTCCATGAGGTGTTTGGGTGGTTGGTATTTATTTTTGATGATTTCGAGAGTTTCTTTTATTGGGACTTGAGTGAATAGTGAAACCACGTCGAAACTTACAAGCAAATCTTTTTGTTCCACGTGTAGATCTTTGATAATTTCCAAGAGGTGGTATGAGTTTGTACATGTGAAGCTGCTGCTTCAGCATGGGGCTGCAGCTGCTTTGCTAGGTATTTGGCTAGGTTTTGTAGTGGTGCTCCTCTGGAGGTGACTATATATATATAGTCAGATATATATCTCTCTCCATTCTGCATGTGTATTTTCTTAGATTGCATAAGTCCAATTCCTTATCTATCAGGAATCAAAATCCCACAGTACCTAACTGCACTAAGTATATAATGCTGTAAAGCAGTTTGTGGCAGCATAAAGTCATTGTGGAAGCACCAGCTTAGAAAGTGACAGCTGTTTGCAGGATCCAAGCAATGGAAACCTTTGCTTTGTTTTGGAAAAAAAAGTGTGGTCTTTGTAAGCAGAGTGGTCCAATTTGATCCATGGGCATTAGCAAGCTCTTTGCTCACCTAACACCAAAGCAAAACAGAGAGGCTCCCCTCCCCACAGTGCACTATGCGAGAATTTTTTTTTTCATATGGATTGCATTGAATGGCTTTTAAAACAGCAGTTTTAAAAGCTAGAAAGGCTAGTCAAGAATGGGGAGGGGAATCGATTGTGTTTTTCACTGCCATAAGCTTCAGTGCTAAACAAATATGTTGCACTTTTTTTCTTTTGGAATCAATTAAAAACATGCCAGCATTTGGCATATCAGGAAAAAGACAAAGAGGCTTGTAACAGTGCTCTCTATTGAGCAAGAAAAGCATTGCAGTTTCTTTTTACATAGGATTTTGCTGTCATCCCCCAAAGTAAAATAATAAAAAGGAATAAAAAGAAAATGAAGTAAAAAATAAAAGTGACAAATCCACTTTGAAAGAGCAGTCATCAAGCTAGCTGAAGTTGTTCTTCACTGGCTTATTCTGTTGTGAGAAGTAAATAAGTGGAAGTATTCAAGATTTATTAAGATTCCGAAGTATAAATGTAATTGTGATCCTCTTTTTAAAACTTTTGTGCTTTTAGATAGTCATTGAAGAATTCAAAAATTATAGTCTCTTCAATACACTGGTTCATGTATAAGCCAAACTATGTTATTAAGCTTGTTTGTACTAGGCATAGTGTCATTCATTAACCTACCTACTTTAAGATTTGTTCAAACTAGGCCACTTCAATAAGCCATGATTAAATACATCCAAATTATTTGTACAAGTAAACTGAACACTGAGACAGGATTCCATGAATATGTTTTAATAC